CATGATTGCGCGATTTCAGTGAAAATTAATTTTTGAATGCAAAAAATCTTTATTAGGAAAGCATTAATTAAATTTCCCTTTTTATATATGTAGAATTAATCTAAAGATAGATTGAGAAAAGAAAAACACTTATAAAAAGAATACAAGATACATATGAAATGAAATGATGAAATGAAATGAAAAATTATATAACCTAACTATGTAGTTACATACTGCTAGTCTATTATCTTGTATTGAAAATGTTTTATTGAAGAGCTGTTTTATCGAGTAACATTATGACACATTCCATTTACAAAATTAATACCATTATTTATATGGAGTGTACATTTTAACAGATGCCACTAGCGTTTGCAATTTTCGCTTCAAAAAACGTTCACGCTCCGGCGGCGACGAGAGGCGACATCAAACATACGCGATGCTCGCAAACCCTTTTGCCAGATTATCTCTCCGCTTATCTCCCATTCACTATCTGAGTCTTCCCAAAACTATCTGCAGCACTATTGTTCGATGTTTTATTAAATTTCATTTTTACGTTCATACAACAACACACTTTTTGTCGGCTGCTTTGTTGTTTTTTTTTGTACTTCGGGACATTTTTTACGGGTGGATTTAGTTTGATGACGTCTACATTTCTAAAGCTATGCTTTTTTTTTTTTTGTGATGGGTATTATGGGTTGGCATTGCGCGTATTAATGTCATAACAGACGACCACTCGACGCTCGTTTGAGTTTTTGTCAAAAAAAACTATTTTTTATACCGAATTGTTATTCTGTGTTTGACCAATCATGATAACATCCTGTTCTCATTGTACAAGTAGTTAGTACATACATGTAAAAGTGCTCCGGCAATCATTCTAAAGATGTGTTTTCAATCTATAACGTCAATTTTATTATTTGGTTTCGGTACCTACACAATTTCGAATAAAATAATGAAATTTTTTTTATGAACCAAAAATTCCGGATACGGTTTTGAGTCATAAAATGAATTCCATTAGATAGGTAACATTATATTTTCTCAAACAGTATGCAACCAGCTGCCATGGAATTTTTTTTTTTATCTTACACTTTAACTACGTTCTGCTCATAGAAATTTTAAATTGATTTATGTTTTTTGTATATTACAAAATTATACTCGTTTAGAGATAAGAGAATACTTAAATATGCAGTCCACTGGGCCTATTAAATCGGAATAATTTTATAGCTACATATAACAGAATGAAATGACGAAGAGAAAGTCGGTATGAATATTTAAAAATTTTAAAAAAACAAACAAACATTTTTAATATTTTTAAAAATTTTATGTAAACAAATATCAATCAACATTTTCTCCGTGTATCTTTTTTATCTCTTTTTTTTATTATCTAGTCTTTTTCTCTAATTTCCTTTCATTTTTTTATGAAAATATAAAAAGGTTTATATTGACCTAAAACCCCAAATATTTCAATTTTGAATCTAAATCATACTATCCAAATAAACAATATAAACAAAAGTGTTTAATTCACTTTTTTTAAAAAATAGCAAAGCTACATACAAAATATATATTTTTTTTTACACATTTTTATTTGTCGAAACGAAAAAATATGACAATAAAATTTGCAATTTTTCAAATCACTGCTGATACCAAATAATAATTTTTAGTATATGTATGTAGTTTTTAATTTAAAATAAAAAAATTGTGTAGTGAAGATTATTTTTATAATTCTTAATAAGCTAGATAAATAAAAACAAAAAATTTCTTGTATAATCATGTTTACTTAACTGTTTTGATTAGTATGTAACTAGAACTACTACTACTTTTACCTATTTTCGTTTAAATTATATACAAGTTTACATATCTAAAAGAAAGAGAATAAAAAAAAAAATTGTCTATAAATAAAAATAGCTCTCAAAACCTTAGATTAAACAACATTACAATTCCGATTTACTAAAAGCAATAAGACTTACAACTCCCCTACCAAAACAATCCTGTATTTCGGTGTCTTCACTAATGGCGCAAGTTCGACAGTCGAAGTTTTTAGTTTTTTTTTCGAGTGTTCTACGCTGCAATAAAGATAAATCCAGCAATAATATGTTTGGGCCTTACGTGAGCTTGGGCACCAAATTGAATTTGCATGAAGACTTAAGTCGCAATTGAGTCGGTGGCCGCATTCAACTGTCGGTGGACAATTTTAACAAGTCCCAGAACAGTGAAACATTACGCGTTGAGCAGTGAGCTTGTTGAACGATCTTACATCGCAACTAGATACACACGACACACGCTAGCCCATTATTATATTATAAATATTTTTCATTATATACTATTCCATTAAAGAACAGAATCACTTACTTATTAAATGAAAAATTTTTTTTTAGATTCACATACAAGCTAAAAATAAAATATTAAACATTGAAAATATACCATAACAAAAACTCTTGAACCATCCAAGTTATTATAAACCAAACCAAAACATAAACAAGTACAACTCAATTGCTTATAATATAGCTATTATTTTATACGTCTTCCTTAGAGCCGTGTAGTCTCTGAACACACATATTAATTATATGAAAGTATAGAAAAACTTGGTTAATATGTTTTTAGACGGGAGCAATCTTCCTTGTAATCCAAGCCCCAGGGCCAGTAGAAGGGACGCTCCTTTATCCCTTGATCCCGTTGTTTTTACCAGACATTAAACAGATAACAATTCGCTGATACTCTGCCAGATTTTAATCTGGACCCCGTAATCCGAACTTCGATTTAATTTCATCCAATACTTACTCACGGGCTGCTTGCTTTTACTAAAATATCATATGATCATGGTCTTAACTCAGCTTCGTTTACTTTGATCTTCATTATTTATTAAATTAACCGTAGTATATCAAGAGAAAAAGAAGATAGGGATGAATAAGAATTAATTGAGATATTAGCACAGATGTAGAACAACTTGAATATATACAATCTCATAGCTATTAGTAAAACATTAACAGAGTTACAAAACGTTCAAACTATACCATAATGTCGATGCATCTATATAAACATAAAATTAATTAACTAAATGCGCCGCATCTGTCAGTCGCAATACACTGTGGCATAGTCGGTGTTACTAGTGACACAGTCAGTGGTGCGAAGTTAAACAAACATTGGTGTCAAACATTGCAAAACGATAGCAACCCCATATCATCTTATTAGAGTCGATTTACAAAGCGGGACTTATTACTATTATATGTAACCAACACAAAACAGCAAATTATCTACGATGAGAATATTCGAAAATTCCATTTAGTTACACAGTTAAATAATAAGAACGTCGTCTTCTATTAATAATTCTTATAGGACATTCCGAATTGTCTATCTTTTACAAACCGCAAATCAAAGTAGAGGTACATTGCTACTCGGTTTAGAATACTAACCAGCCTATAATTAGAGCTCGGCCGACAGGCAAGGCAATATTCAATATTTGTGTAGAGAGAGTCTTAAATCACATTTGCTAGTAACAAGCGACAAACGGGCAGGTATGTTTGTGAACTGATAAAATTCAGTTTGTCCTGATCAATTCAAGTCATGTATACCTTGGAAACGGTAACCACGTAGTGTAAACTTCCAAATACATATTCACCAAAATGATCAAGATAGTATATTTCGCTCTACTGTACTGTTGTTTTTATTTGAACCACATTGATTTTGTGTTTTCAAGTTTCCAAATTACGGAGATTCTTACACCTCAAGATTTCTAAAAAATTTAATCAGTAAGCTTCATTTGCATGTCAAAATCTAATAGATTACCGATTTTGGTTATCTAACTTTTTATCCGTTGAATTCTTTAACAATTCTTGTAACTAGACAAAAAAAAACCGTCCTATCTAATGATATTAAAAACCTTGATATCTAAAGATATGACAACTGAAACATAAAAAATGTGATATACATAAACTTTATTGGAATAGAGATTATAGACAAATTAGAAGTTTAAAACAATGTAACGATTTTTATAAAGCATTAAAAACATTTATATTATATTGTATGAAGCACGAGTTAAATGAATTTAATAGTTAATTTAAAATGAAAGAGTTTACCTGAATGTAGATCCGTCGCCGTTATTAATATATAACTTCAAAACCTCAACCATCTTAATGATAAACTGAGAGGCAAAGTCTCAATCTACAAACAAAAATATAAAGCTAATTAAAAAGTTTCAAACTAAATTATGAGAGGGCTTCGATAGACTCTGTACCAAGATTGTAGCTAAGATTTAATCAAAGTGGATGTCATCGCGAAACCTACCGGAATGTTCCACCATAAAGTTAAGCAAAGCGGGTACAAGTAAACGTGACAAAGTTTCGTGGTACCAGAGCAAATGTTTGCTTGAGACAGTTGCGACAAACATTGCTCTCACACTACGGGAATTCCAAATTTAAATTACATATTCATAACAGGCAAACGAGGATCTGTTCATTTCGTAAATCCCAACGGAGATGGTAACTACCATGACGTAGAGATTATATCGTCACCTAATGTTTTGCTAATAAATTAACTATTTAGATTCGCGTACAAATTTTATAACTATGTTACTTTAAATCAAATTTAATAAGCTATATGCTGTAAAGTTAAGCAACAGTTTCATATTAGGCCTTTTTTACAATATTACAATTCGAGTCTATATTCCGATTCATTCCGATTTATTAATGACATTATATATTCATGTTCATTATATTCAGAAGAGAGATAATCCATTTGTTTTTTGTGAATGTAAAAGAACTTTAATATTAATTTGCAAATAAAAGTTCATGCGGAAGCAGTTTTCATTCCTGTCGTCATTGAAATTGATAATGGGTATCGTTTACATGGGGCTTACTATTTCCTCGCAAAATAAATTAATACAAAAACAAGATGCGCATATTCTCCCATTGGACTATTAATCCAAGTCAAAGCAAAAGCGACAAAGGCGAGTCAGCTCATAAAATTTATAGGCGATCGAATGAGATAATATGGTCGACACTAAGAACAGCTTAGACAGTTTGGAAAATTTAAATGTGAAGTAAGTTTTGCGAGATTGCGCGGTATAAATCAGTACTGGGTAGCGGAGTGTTAGGTGCGGGGTGCGGGGCGCGGGGCGTGCGAGGCCGCTGCTCCTCAGCCTGCGACGATAAATCCGAGACTCCCTCGGGCTTCTTCACCTCTCTCCATCTTCACGTAGAGAACGCCTCTTTGCTCAACTATGTAAGTGACTTATGACTCGAGTGAATAAAATATGTCTGTTCACTTGTGAATTCAATGCCGTTTATAATTCGATATCAGTTTACAAAAATATTGTTAATTTTCAACAGCTCTCTTATCCCATCTATCAGATGGTAGCATTCGAAGTATTTCCCGCTAACTCCGCCTAATTCTTTTACGCGCTACATTTCACGAATCTTATTTTTGTAATTACAAAAATGTCTAGTACGCCGACATTATCCTTAATTGCTGAACATTAAAAATTCCATTTAAATTTCCCTTTTAACGATCAAGGAGGTCTGTCTAATTGTTATAATATACTCGTTTTTACGTATTTTTATTGCCGGTACAATAATTAGAACATAACGGTACGTCGCCTTTTTAAGGAAGGTTGTAATTAAACTTTTCTTAGAGAGTAAAACAATATTGCAGATACGAAGACCGGTGCCGGGGGAGCTGGGGTGTGAGTCGGTTATTTAAGAAATGGAAAGAAAAAGCAATTTACTGCTTATCAGGAAAAGTAGCGAGCCGTGGGCCGGGGTCACTGCGAATAAAAAAGTAATAGCGAGCGAGCCACTCAAACAACTCCCAGCAAGTGTTCATTTTATATTTTTAATTAAACTTTGATTTATATTTTATGTTGTAATGGATCTTTAATAGAACTCTATAATTAAAATAAATTTAATATACATATTAATGTCGTATAATATAAGAAAATTTTAATTACTAGGACGCTTAATAAGATCTTTTGAGATATTCTCGAAACGTTCCCTCCATTGAAAATCTGGTCTGAAACTTGGAAGGATGTTGCTTATTTGAGGTGTTCAACCAAAAATAGATTAATCTGCAAAAGTTTTACTCTATTATAAGTTGTTAGGCGAGTTAAAGCGAAATTGGTTTTAAGTCGACAAATTCCGTCCGTAGTTCGTCGACAACGCGAGCGTCAACTAACTTTGCTAAGACAGTTTTCCATGACAACTACGAGACGGCTAGTAAATAATACATTAGGTTTATATTTATGTGCTTTAACTAATAACGTTTAAATTAGTATATCATTTTTATTTAATTAGATCAAGTTACAAAAATACGTATATACCTAATGAAACTTCTTAATTTGATATGATTTATTAAAAAAAACTTTTTTTTACGTAAGGTATGTATGGAAGACAATAAAAAATATTAATCTTTTTTTCTTACTTATAATTTTTTGGTGGTCTAAATTTGTTTTCCAGTTTCAAATTTCTTTTACCATACCTTCATGATTAGATGCTGGCGAGGTATACGTGAAAATCTGTCTATTAATAGCAGTACTAATCCAACGATTTCAATTATCCTTGACTTGCCACATTTATTCATGTTAGTTTACATTTTAAGAAGCAAAAACTCTCATTAAATGTACCAAATGAATGTTTCAAGTTATATTCATCTGAATTCATCAAATCTGAATGTACCGTAAAAGTATCAACATATCACTATTATAAGTGAACATATTGAGCTCATTATTGTCACACATAATGCCACTTGCATTTTAATGGTAAAAATGCATGTCGAAAAATTGCAACAATGAGGGTGCATTCTATAGCGGGTGTCGAGGTCGCCGGGGGTCAAATATTTGGGTGTCAACCCCGCTATTGACTCGCAATGAATGAAGCCCTATTCTGAGACGATTTTATAACTAAATTAGAGAATAATTTATTGGTTTTGTCTTAGAATCATTATAATGAAGGTATTTATTGATCGAAATTTAATTATGAGTATGTTAAGAATAATGTAAAGTCCGCAAATCAAGTAATAAGAAATACGCCGTACAGTTCAACACTTGCTTAGAAACAATCAACTAAGGCACACATTTAGACGATTTTTTTATAATCCCTAATTTTAAAATATTTATTATTCTTTTAACTTTACATTGTCATACATTATAAACGATAACATAAGAATAAATTAAAATTTAAATACAAATTCTAATAGTCATTGTTTTATGAATAATTCCTTTATCTTTATGATAGCCATTAATAAATTTTCCATAGACATTTTTTGCGTTTAGAATTCTACATTTTTTTGACATTGAAACGAAATTGAACTAAATAAATTAAAATTTACATATACAATTTATAATTAAAATCATTGAGTGCAAGTTCTAAGATAACATATCCCAGACGCTTTTCCAATTTAGCCATTGTGAGTAAATACAAATTGGTGGAATTGTCGTTCTTTGAATTAATAAAATTAATAATTTCTTAATAAAATCCTCATCATCACTCTTGATGTTTGAAGAGTAAAAACACACTAAAATATCTATAATATAAATAAAACATAATATAATAGAAATATATTAACGATAACACTAGCGGTAGTGCGATAGAAATTCTGCTAATTTTGTCAATTTATAATTATATTTTATTGAGTAATCAACGTGTATTAATAGAATTTAAACCTATTGTATAGATAAGAACAGAAAATTTGTTGCCTATTATATGTCTTTATTATGGATACAATTAAAAAATAACTATTCAACAAATATATTTCAAAACAGATATTCATATTTTTATGAAATTTATATATAATTATTTTGAAGATAGATATTATTTTTATGAAGATAGAACATGAAAAATTCCTTTTCAAATATGTGAAGCTGGAACTATACTAAAATAAAAATTAAATTCTATATGTAACGTGACTAAAATGAATTCATAACGGAATGGAAGTCTTCATTAAAATATACAAATTTTGTTAATTTGTATAAAATAATAAAAATAAACAAAATGCTTATTACATAGATGTTATATTTGTTGCGGATTTAGTAAGTAAACACATATTGTTCTAATACATTAACTGTGTTGTGTATCGATGAGATGATCTAAAAAGTAATAAAAGGCCCAGATCAATTTGAGGGGTACGTAAACTTTAATGTTTATGAACTGTATAAATTATGCGGACTTTAACGCTCAATCATTTGTAGCTAATAAAAATTCCACCGGTTCCGTTTTTGTAACGCTGCGTCAAGCTATCAATCAGTTTAAAAATTCCCTGTTGATCCCCTTAATTTAATCAAAAGATCGCTTTAGCTGGTCACGGACAAGACAAGAAAAAAACGGAATGACGTCACGATACGGTAATATGAAATTTTCAACGGCAGGGCGTAGGGCGGAGCTCGCCGTAATATCCTGAGCCGAGGAGCCAATAAATTACAATTTGACATAAACAATACCCCACTACAGTATACGTTGTATCGAATAATTTATTACAACTTGTTTTATTTTGTAACTAAGTCGAGTTTGAGAATTATTGCATACAAAAATTACTACGTTATAAACAGTCTGGAAAGTTTGAAAAATCTCAAAACAACAAATTGTTTACCATAGTTCATATTGAATATTTTTTATAAAAATATTATAAACTCTGTATTGGAAGATTATAAATTTTTAAAACAAGCAAACAATGCAAGTTAACTTTCGTCGTAATAATCTAATTAAATTAATAAACATATCATATGTAACATATCTGAAGATGGAATGCAAGGGAGAAGTTAAGATTGATACTAATTACATTACAAATACGAGTTCAATTGACCCCAATCGGGTGTGGGCCCCCCCAGCACCCCGATGTAATAAAATTTGCATACTTTTAATCAAGGGCCGTGTCGCGGAGAAGTTTGCCAATAACGGACCGCCGTGATCGATCTCCGGTTGTCCGTATTACAATGTTGTTTGTTGTGCAAATGTAGATATTGAGATCGTGTCTATCATAAACAATATATTCATACACATACGAACTTGAACTTTTTTTGAGTTTCACTGTGACATTTTTTTATTTTTTTTTAATTGTGTCTTTATATTAGAATGAAGATTTTTTGTGTGACTTGAAATAGTTTATTTTGATGGAGTCTTTACAATAATTTAGAAGAGAAAATTTTGGAAGCCTTATTCGTTTTTTTGTAATCCCAAGAAACTTAGAATATATTATAAGTGTATATATAAAATAATTATTTAAAAGGTTACCATATATAACATGTATATTAAAGTGAAGATGAGTCAAGATATAAGTTCACTTTTTAAAGACCGAATGTCAAATTTCACGAACACCCAAACCTAGATCTGCATAACAATCAGCCTCAATAGGAATCTCAAAAAAAACCCTGTTTCGCAAATAGCAATAAATTGGCTGGCATCTAATATAAAAAGACAAAACATCTAGCAAACCTCACGGCCGGGGCCTGTCCATCTCCGCTCCACATTAATCGTGTTTAGTTAGCGGATATTGGCGGCGGAAATTCAAATGCAATCAAATGAAAATAGAATTCGTAAAAAAGCAAAGAAAACAAAGCGACAGGCGTCAGTCTACCGAGCGAGTTCTACCCGCACCTCCCGCCCTCGCCGAACGCTGACCGTACTTACACGATTTTAAATTGTACATATCTGAAATTCCGATCTGTCGCGCACCCACCCTGCGCTATGAAATGAAACGAAATAAAACTAGGACGAGACCGTGCGCCCGGAAAAAATCAAAATCAAAATTAAAAAAAAAAGTATTTCCCAACGAGAGCGAGGGAGGCGGATGTTGCAATGTTTGCGGCCGTCATTCAATGCAGTCCCCAATAAAAACATGCTTGCACGTCCTACATATAAATATGTGTTGGATTGATTGGAATTGAATATGTGGGGGCTAGGGTGGTGCGGGGCAGGAATCGAAGGTGAACGCTGCTGCTAAGACTGTAATCGGTTTTGCCCGGGGCCGGCCGGGACCGAACCGCTCACAATTAAACTTTGTTTGTACATGTGTCGCTGGAGATTAGCCACAATGCTCTTTTTAAGTGGACGCGCTACGACGGTCCCACATGCAATTTAAGAATCTAGAACAGTTTTAATTATAGGCTATAGATTAAACAACTTACCTCTTCAATAATTTTAGTAATCGTGTCGAAATTCTATATTTATTTTTATAAAATAACCACCAGACAGAAGATATCTAACGATTAATATAAGATATTAGCATTTTTGGATAGTAACAGCAGGGATATAAATAAAATGAATAATCCCCTCAAATCTCATAGATAGCGATAGTATCAAATGCCTAAAAGATGTAAATGTAAGCAGTCCAAGCGACGCACGGCGCCAATAATTCATCAAGAGGGGCGCTGATTGTCTACAATTATGGCATTAGCTTTCCCGACTAATTTTATATTGCTGTGGCTTCCCCTCAGCGATACTATGTGGTCAAGTGAAACACGTTGCCGACTATTGATTGTCAGAGTATTTATGTCGTTATGTAGGAAGAGAATATAACAACTTGTATTCAATATCTCAGTAGTACAGTTACCAACATGGCTCAATGTTTATATGAAATATTTATTGTAACATTAAGAAGTTTTCGATAAAGGCAAATTAATTGAATACAAAAAATAAATGTGTATATCGTATCTATGAAAGTTTAAGAGGCCACTAATGTTTTTACAAAATAGTCATAAGTAGCTACTCGCTCATTCTGACCGATCAATCACCCTTAGCATAACAGCTACAAGCGCAAAATCTTAAGGGGCAGGGAACAAAGATAACTCCCGTTTAACTTCCGTTTTCCAACTTATCGAATAATTTAACTGAACATTTATTTTTGCGCGCTCATCAATCAAGCGAACTCGCTCTTCGCCGATAAGCCCTCGACTCGACGCCGAGAAATGACTAGGCATTACATAAATCCCCTCGGATGATGAAAAGTGAAGTCTAACAGATAAGAACCGACAAAAAAGTTGCGATGAGAAATGAATCGCGATTTATATTCGCGGGCAAGACGCGCATCGCTGTGCTGACTTTCTCAATTCTCCGCAATACTAACTTGTGATCGCTACTCTTTATTACTCTCAAATCCATTTTTATATTATAAAAGCATTTTTATTACAAAATAACATTTAATAAAATCGACAAAGATATTAACTCAAAATTATATAAAGAACAAATTACTTTTCCACAATATTTTCCCAGTCGTTATTTTTTATTTCGTATTAAAATGGGTTGATAACAAAAAGAAAAGTTTTAAACGAACTTTTCTCCCGACAGCCATTATTAAGATAAACAGTACAATACATAAGCCTATCTCGACATTTATTTTTATCACGGGTTCACATCACGCGCCGCTATTCCCTGTTATGATACGGCCCGTACCTGAGTGGAGCTGAAAGAAAAGCTATAAACCTGTTCGAAGCGTTTCTGCCGGCGCGCCGAAGCGTCGCGTACGCGCGCCGACTAGCAAGCAGCCCTGCACCCTGCACCCCGCACCCCTTGCTACTCTCCCGATAGCCCCCCACAACTGCCGACCATATTTTCCACTTTATGTGTGACAGTTGAGGTAATATCGAGACTCTCTCTTCTCTCTGATTGGACGAAAAATACACATTAAAGGAACCTGCCGGTTGTGAGCGAGCGATTCGAAACTGTATTCCCGTGGAAAATGTCGGAAAATATTGTATTATGGGGGTGGAAAATTGCCACCCCACCACCCGCTCGCTCGACTCGGCAAAAAACTGTCGAGTATTTGTTTTTGATGAAAACGATTTATTATTCTACGTGGGTTGGAGGCAATAAAGATAAGCCAGCGAGGTGGCGGAGCCTTATTACGGCTAACCCTCGCCTTTGTTTCCTTATAAAGAATAATAAATGAAACTGTACACATTATATACAAAAATTTCCTAATTTTTGAGTATACAACTTATAACCAAGTAAAAAGTACTGACGGTCCTAATGTGACTAAAATTTTACTCCGGTTAAGGGGTTTATTCATAATTCAAAACACTATGATTTTTGGGATATAAAAGAAATATTATTTTAAATACTAATTCTTCCATTGCCTTATTTCCGTCTCATAATAGTTTTGTATGTATGATTTCGTTATGACAGTCTCAAGTATTTGCTTATAAATGTGCCTTTTATTCTGATATCTAAACCATATTAGCATAAAGTTTACTGAAAATTTAACTTGTAAACTTAGCGTGAAGGTATAATTATATTTTCACTCATCAAATATATTTATTCAGATAATTAGCTGGTTTACTAATGATTATAGTACATTTGTTTTCTAACGTAACTTTTTTTCAATAATATTATGTTGTTTTTCTAACATAAGGAAAATACTTATGATTCTAAACAACAAAACCAAATTCACATACATATATATTACAAAAATTAATATAAACGAGCACTAAGTACGAATATTAAGTATAGAGTCATTTGTGATTGTAACCCCATGACGTTAAACAAATCCGGGGTCCCCCGCGGTGCGCACGCGCCGGTTATTAAACTCATCATAATATTTTATAGCGATATTCATCGTCGACAGATTTCTAGCTTGTTTTAATCATCTGCTGTGGTTGCGTTTTATCACTTATTAACAGGGCCATCAATCTTTTTTTTATGTAACTATATGAGAAAAACAGTTTTTTTTTTTCCAGTTGTTTTCCTAATATATATCCAGCAAGGGTTGTTTTAGGATAATATTTGGAACAATGAACCTTTTTACTTTATATGAGAATATGTACAAACGTATTTGTGATCTATCAATTTTAAAATATCAATTTCAAAATTAAAAAATCTTGTAATATTAACATTGGCGTTGTAATTTTTATATTATAAACTTTAATGTAATTTTTATAATAATGCTTATACATATTTCGCAATATAAAAACAATTAAGAAGGTGAAATAATTTTACCGCAATCAATCGAAAACTTTCAGTTTTGTCTGACAAATTTGTACAAACAAATTGGTTGTTCTGAGCGCCTCCCGTGTCCCCGTCTAGGCGACGGTTAAAAATTTAAATATCAACATCCAACCCTCCTAAATTAAAGAAGCGCATTCTAAAAAAATGTTTAAGCAGATCTTAAAAAACAAAATTCTCATAATTCTCATAAATTTTGCTCTAATAAAAAGTCTATTACATACCTAACCTTTACTCTAAACTCAGTTATGATATGTATACTAAAAATGTATTTGAAGACAAATTGTGACAACCATTTTAATGTAATGGATATTGAAAAATGTGATTGCTTCTAGTTTTGCATAAAGTGATCCACGGACCCCAAAATGACGGGTAGCGGATGCGGTGCAAGTTAACTCGTACTATTTAACCATTCGTTCATGCCGCGATGAACCCTCGCCAGACAGGGAGGGTGACATCCACCAAAACGAGCGAAAGACTGGCGAGATACTCAACGGGGCATAACTCATAAATAAAATACAATATGGTGAGCAAAACATTGAATTATGCCGGTATTATGTCACATTTGGCCTTTGTGAATTTGTCAAATCATATCGTAAGGGGAGTAGAGTATTTGTCGTTGTTACTGGATTTATTGGTTTATTACTCGAAACAAATATATGCATACATATCTTTATATTACATCATTCTTTATAAAATTTGTTTTGTTATTTGTAAATCAACTAACCTTTGACAAGAGCTTATCTTAAATTCCCGTATCGATTACAAATGACAAGGATTGTATTAAACAATCTTCAGTTTTTATAAACAAGAGTCTCATTTTATTTTGCCATAAAAAGAAATACATCGAGCCCGATTCAGCGAAATCATAGAAAAGCACATAAATTGCCAAGCATTAACATTTCCTTTATCCTACGTGTCGGTGTATGACGGGGGCGCTCACTACCGACGCCGGGAGCCGCCCAAGACAATAAATTTACATATTTCACCCCTCAAACAGACCTTTTTTGCCATTCCACAGAATTACGCACATATGGGAATATTTTGTTGAATATATCAGCAGTAAGGAGATATATTTCAGAATAAAAATTATCGCCTCCAACGCATTTACGAATGAGGAGCTGTAATCAAATAGATGGAAACAAAAAGAACTTTTTTTTATTAAATCCGATGTGGTATTTTTACATATAAAATATAAATATGTTCCTTAGTATGATTAAATCTGAATTACTCCTTTTGTTCAGAAGACAGAAAGCAAAATGAGATAGTGCAGATGGATGTAATTTTGTGGTACAAACACCCTCCAAAGGGTCAAATCAAAATCATTTTCACAGTCCAGTAAAGCGGCGTTGATATAGTCACATACATCGCTCCTTATGGCGACAAATTTCCCATTAACTCAGCCGGTTTTATAATTACGTGAGGAAATATCTGACAAAAATAATACAATATTTATTTAACGTTGCCTACGTTTTACTAAACTTAATTCTAGACTAAACATTATTTTTATAATATATGTATATTTTTTCCTCTTCAAAATATGACTGCTATATATTAAAAATAATACGAGTACAATAATAGTACTTACTACTTTCCGCCACAGGATAATCATGTATGAATTAAATAGTAAATTCGAATTGGGAGTAGGTGAATAGAATCCGGCAGGACTGGAACCTAGACAGACGACACTAATACTCATTAGAATTACATGGCGGAACGAAGCGCCTGCACCGTCCACCGACGCCACACGTCCAACTACTATGGATTTACCTATATCCCAAATACTAAATGATACATTTGTCTTATTTTCTAATTCCAGATTAAACTTTAAAAGTGTTTTGATAAAATAATTTATATTTCTAAATCTATTTAGTAAATATCTCTGATTAAGTCTTATCGAATTTCCTCAACGAGTCAATTTTAATATTGTGTAGCCTGTATATAAATAAAAAATTATTTCCTTATACTATTTACAAATATTAAATAGCAAGAATATTATTTTCTAACTTCATTCTATGTTATAAGAATGTAATGAAAACACCTTTGGCTATGTACGAACTACAAAGTGCATGTATTTTGTATTGGACGGTGCACTTCAAAAGCGCCTGATGGAAACTCAATGGCTGCGGTCAGAGGCGATGTAGATGAGTTTACGCTAGGCGCGCTAACATGTCGCTAATCTTTCAACATATCAAAACATACACTGTATGAACTATAAAATCATCTGGTTTGTCTCATATTTTTAGTTTGTTAACAAATAAGATAGTAAATTTATTTAAGGCCCATAGAGTGGAGTATATAGTACATGGAAAATAAACGGTCCCTCAGTATATGTACGTATAAAATATCAATTCCGTAAAGCAATATATTTTATCGACCCTTTAAAGTAAACAAACCCCCTACCAAAGCTATATGTACACATAACATTTCTTTTTCGACATTCCCTCTTTGTCGGAACATAATCCTGAAAGGATGTCTAATATCATTTTCTTCGTTTGTTTCTTGGCGCGTGTAGCGAACGCTGGGAAATATCGCATTCTCTGCACGAATTCCACCACAATCGATAAGAGAGATGACCACTAGCCGCGAGGGAGATGGCCGGGGCGGAGGGGGGCAGAGGGAGCAGCAACGGGGGGACTGTTATTTGATTAGTCTTACCGAGAATGAGCTCGCCTTCACTTAATGGGGTGAGGGCTTGTAACCGGACCATGTATAATTTGCCCCGTTCTCTAAATATAAACCGGAAAAAACAGTCGAAGAATTTAATCTAAATTATACAGAATACCGTATCGCAGTCTCATCATCGCTTAATAGACACACATTTTGATATAAATGAGTTTTTCGCTTCAAATTAATTAGTTGCAGGTTCCCATTATAAGGACAAATGTAAAAGCGACCGCTTAATAGTGCGGTGGAAAACTCGCTAGTTTTTTTTAGCTCGCGAGAATAGGGCCGGAGAGAAATTGCGGATAGACATAATCAGTCTTTTTGGCTTTGAGGCCGACACCGCCCTAATGTGGCACCCGCCTCTTCACCTGATAAATACACATCGCTGATAGAATTCAATATCAACGTTTCATTTGCCGCCTAATTGAAATCTTGCGTTTTGTTGATACTGACGCAATATCTCACTGGGTGAGGATAACGTTTTACGATACATTTAAAGGAAAATAAACTTACGGTTTGGTTAAAATTAAAATAATCATAATACTCAAAATATTCAACAGCATAGCAAGGTTTTATTAAACTAAATATAAACTCATACATTTCAATAATAATGGACCTTATTTACATATTGCAGTAAACATATTTCTGTTTAAATAGTATCTAATACTATTGATAAACAATAATCTTAAAACGGCAAAAACGATACTTATAAGGCCTTTAATGATTTTATCCCATCTCACAGAAACCTATTGCAATAAAACCCCATTTACACATGCTCGTTAACTGAAAGATATAGCTGAGGTTTTAAAATGAATACTATACTAGAAATTATGACAAAATCTAGATGAAGGAGTTCTATTTTTCTAAAAATATCTTACAATATCTGAAATAAAGATAAAGGTAATGAGTCAGAAGCGTCAACTAAGACAATAAATGACTAAATGTATACTTCCATTAATTAATTATTTGTTAGGTACGTAGCATAATTAATAGA